TATATTTTCACAAGGACAACACATGTAAAGTACTGATGAATAAATAAAGGCCAAATATAGTTTTTTTGTCTTTTTTATAATATCAAGTGACGGGACGAACAAGTCGTGCGCTTGACAGTAAGCTACACGCCTGTCCGTAACAGTTGCAGTGCCACTCAGAGTTTTAAATCGCAAAGATCTTGGCGTTGCCAGTGCGCCCATCACCCTGAGATATAAGTTGACAAGTCCCGTGTGTCTGAATTTTACCAGCACCCTTACCCTTCCAAACTGGAACGCAGTAATGCTAACATTACTGCTTGGCGGCAGAAGTAGGTAAGGTGGCAGTACTTCCCTGGACGAACTCTTTCACAACGAGCTCTACTGCTGCTTAAATAGTACAACCTATTTTATATGGGCTTTACCTTTATATGGCTGTTTGTCACATAAGTACATTTTTAAATTATTTGCTAAACTTGGCACTAGGCGGCACCTTTTTTTACGACCAATAGTTATTAAGAGTTATTATAAATTTATCGTTTTTATTTGTTCAGACCAACGCAATGCCTTTTTTGTACTTCTTTTAGAAAAGAACCTTTATCGCCCTCATGTTATTCTATAGGTACTCTTATTACAAATGTACTACTTATATTACAAAACTTCAACAGCGGTGAGAAGGTTATTAAAGGTTATTCAAAAATGTGTCACTAGATGTCGTTAGCGGCGAGGAATGCCAAAAGTCAGTACAAAGACAGTACAGGAGACAAATACACAGGAGAATTTCGACGACTCGGTAACTGGACACGTGACTCAGACGGTTAGAGCAATGCTAGGGTGCAGTATGGACATGGGTTCGTCGTCGAAAAAAAAAACAAAAAATGTGTGTTCGATCTTTGTATTCATAAGAAACCTGGTTTCATTGCAGCAATTGATTCACATAAGTAAATTTTTAATACCTGAAAAACTAAACAGTGAAATAATGTAAATAATGTTAAAAAAAATTTAGTTATTTGCCACTACATATTTAGCATTTTTGTTATTATTTTCTTGCAAATGCGGTATTTCATCTGTTTCATTTTCTTTGCATACTTGCATAATTACACGAGTATATTTTCTTATATGTAAATATATCTAAACTAATTTATAAATGGGAAAGTAACTTTGTCTGTACGTTTTCGATGCCTGATCCAGATTCGATGAAATTTTTGTATAAAGATAAATGAGACCAAAGTGACGGCATAGGTTACTTTTTGTCACAAAAATAATCTCAAAAGGGGTGAAATAGGGATGAAAATTTGTTCGGAGAACCAAAGATTTCTCAAGTAAGTGGTACAAAAGGCTACTCGAAGCACTTATTATATGTCGTTATAGTTGCGGGCACGGTCTATTACTCTAAATCAATAAATAAACTATACAAGTATAAAGCGGTGTTGCGAATTTCATGTTTAAAATTTGTGGATTAAATTCAATATCAATTATCACTGAACGAAATTTCAAACCTTATTGTGGTTGAAACCTGCACGTTGAAGAAGGTACACAACTCTCGGAAAATGTGTGAAGTCCCCAACTGGCATTGGACCAGCGTGGTGAACTATGGCGTAAACCTACGCCTAAGAAGAGACACATGTCCTGCAGTGGGACGTATAAATAGGTTGATGATGATGATAATCATGATGGTAGATAATAAGTTATAAGAATTCTGTAAAACTACAGACACAGCTTTCAAAAGTTATGTAATAAAACAATGATGCCGTAAAACTATACAAAAAAAAAAACAAAAATAGAGTGGTCACAATATGGTGTCAATTTGTTTTCTTGTCTGGTCGTCGGTGCACACCTCGGAAAACTAGTGCCGTAACGATGACTCGATTAATGGAGATATGAAGCAAATGTTTTTTATTATGATCATCTTCCATCATTGTTCCTGTAGCGACAGGAATGTAACATTTTTATCGGAGATAAAAAAGTCAAAGGTCAAAATTTATCGTTAAGTATAAATATGCCTTGGATTTTCGGAACAGTGTTTAAGAATCTGACCCAGATGCCACATACGCAACAGTAAAGTTGTTGTAATATTTGTAAAAGATGTCATATGGGACCCTGCAGTAGATATAATTTTAGTTTTGTTTTGTTACAGTAGACTCATGTATTTAAGCTCCATTTATGTTAATTCTAGTATTCATCATTAAGTTGGCCTTTATGTTAAGCCTTTTGTTTTTCTATGTGTGGGTCAAATTGCTGGCACGCACTCTTAGTAATATTTTTTGTCTTGCTCAGTCGTGACCTTTCTGTTTGTCACCGCATTCAAACAACACAACTCATTTGTACAAAAAAGAATCTAATTAAAGAATTATATTGAACAAAGCAATGTTTTCCTTCCAATCCATGGCCATGGAGAGTGATTCTTTAACAACGCTTCTCAAAATCCAATGTTTATATCGTTCAGATAGTCTGTGACTATTGCTTTATATACGATTACAAATCTTGCATTCCTATCGCTCTGATTGACCCTCTGTTTCTGTAATCTGTTTTAGTGCCTTCTTACTGGCATATAGTCACTCTGTATAGCCTGGGCTTCACGTAAATTATTATCAGTGATTGGGGTGGTCTCAGTAAGGAAAATTGCTCCTTATCTCTTTCCCTAACATTAATCCAGCCCGCGTTATCCCACT